GTTCTGCCTTGAAAGTTCTTTACTCAAGTCTTTGAGCTCCCTGCTTTTCCTTTAGGTCTTGGCATAAAGATCTTTTTTCCTGGGATGCATGGGTGGCTCAGTTGGTTAAGCAGCTGCCTTTGGCTCAGGTCATGATCCCAGCGTCCTGGGATTGAGTCCCACATCGGGCTCCTTGCTTGTCAGGGAGCCTGCTTCTCCCTCTGCCACTCTGCCTGCCATTCTGTCTGCCTGTGCTCACTCGCTCTCCCTCTTTCTCTCTGACAGATAAATAAATAAAATCCTTAAAAAAAAAAAAAAGATCTTTTTTCCTTCCTGTGTCCCTTACCTTAAGTTGCAGTCAGCCTACTGCTTTGCCTCTAGGATAGTCTCTTTCTTATATCATCCTATTTGGTTCCTTCATAGCTCTTACTATAGTCTAAAATTATCTTGCTTATTTATTTGTTTACCTCTTTGTGGTTATCTCCTCATCTAAAATGTATACTGTATGAGTATACAGGGACCTTGTACATCTGCCTGAATCCCCAGCACCTAATGTAATATTTGTGATGTGGTGGGTACTTGTATTGTTGAACAAATGAATGAATTATGTAGTTCTGTTTTATAGACCAAAGAAACCTAATTCCGAGTATATGAAAATCTGGATTTATTCCACAGATAAACTGTGAATTCATTATGTATTGAAATCCTACTTTTGTGCCAGGCACTGTACTGAGCACTGGGTACATAGAAACAGATAAGAAAGCTGCTACACTTGAATTAGCACATTGTCTCCACATCATGGGTACTTACTGTGTAGTCAAAAACTAAATTGGAATTGTTTAAGAATAGCAAAGAGATCAGATTTCTTAATTCATTAAAATCTATTAAGTACTGAAATTGGCGAGGGAACTCAGAGGGGTTTGATTGTACAAGAGCAAACTTTTTCAGGTGAGGGAAATACCCCGAATTTTGCTTCAGGTGGTGTTTATAGGTCTAGGTAGGTGTAAAGACTCATCCAATATAACACTTAACTCAAAGCTCAACAGGCTATACTATAAATTAGGACTCAATATAAAATAAAATAAATTGAAGCAAGCATTATTTAGGCACGGAGGATATAGTGGTGACCTGGACAAATAAAGTGTCTGCTTTTGTAGATCTTACATCCTGACTGGGGGACATGATAGATGGATGTAGCTGTTAAAATTCATGTTTCCAGATGATGCTAAGAAACTGGGAAATGTTCCTGATATAAAGTGAAAAATGTAAGATATGGACTATATATACAACATGGTCTCAGTTTTGGTTTTTACATATTTAAAACATATTTACAGAGCAAAAAAAAAAGTAAAATGTTATCAACTCTTTTTTTTTAACCTGTTAGAATGGCTATTATTTTTTTTAATCATTTTTTAAAATTTGAATGTTATTAACTCTTGACTGATAGTATTATAAGTTATTTTTATACTTTCCTAAATTTTGTAAAATAAGTGCTGTTTTTGATAATCCTAAACAATAAAAATAAAGAATACACTGTACAAAATATACATTATACCTGACAATTAGGAGGTAATAGTTTTCCCCTCAAAGTATCTAAAATTTCTGTAATAGCTCAATATGTATCAAGTAGGTTCATTGGAAATAGCTATTTTAAAATTTTTTAAAATTTGTTTGATTTTTCTGTATTTCATATTTGTTTGCTAAAAATCAACCTTAATAAATACATTTAAAGTTATTAAGCTTCAAAGGCTTTATTATTTTTCTTTATAAACCTTTTCTGTAGTTAAATTGAAGATTATCACCTTCAGAAAGTAGATTGTACTCAGGCTCTTGTTTCAGTTACGTTGTAGGAGATAATAGTACTTTTTATTCCCATACTATCACAGAGTAATGCTTTACTGAGGAATCAAGTACTTCAAAGGAACATTTTCTGAAGTAGATTTTTAAAAGTATTAACACCATTTTTTCCCTGAGATTTGTGGGCTAGGACAGGAAATGCCAAATTTAAGAATCTAAGTTAAGGTTTTCATCTTTAAATTCCTATTTACTTTTTGAGTTTGAGTCATTTAACCTCATGACTTTTTAATTTTGTAATATACAGAATAATACTTAAAGTTACTCTACATTTAATAAACATTTACTGGATACCTACTACTTTAAATTTTACTGGGTATTGGGGTCAATAGATATTCATTGCCGGATCTACAAGATAAGTGCAAATAAGTAATTACAGTACTATGTGGTGAGTGAGAAAGGGACTGACATTTATGCTCTGCATTCATTCATTAAGTCGTTCATAAAACACCTCTGAGGTATCTACTTTGTGTCAGGGAGAGTGGTAGGGACAAATGAGTCAGTTTTATAAGCAGATGACAATGGTGTGATAAAAGAAACAGGAAAAGGGCTTGGAAGTACAAGAGGAAGTGATAGATTTTGCTTTGTGAAATCAAGGAAGACTTCTGTAGAAGGCAATATATGACATTAATCCTAAAGGGTCTACACAAATCAGTCCAATAACTAGAGGCAGAAAGAAGGAATTCCTTATGCAAAGAACACAGGAAGGCAGCTACTAGGTAGTAGCTTTGGGTGGTTTCAGGTAGGTAAGAGATGGGTGCCGAAGCTGTCAAAGCAGCCTTGCCATGCTATAGAGATGTTACTTTATTGAAACAATGGTCTGTAGCAGTGCCATCCAGAAAACATGATGGAAGTGTTCTCTGGTTGTCAGATAGAGTAGCCACTAGTACCATGTCACTATTGAACTGGTGATCTGTAACTAGTTTGTCTTAGAAACTGAATTTTAAATTTTACTTAATTTTAATTTATTTAAAGTTTATAGCTTTATGTGTGTTTTAATCATGTTTTTAAATTTTTCTATATTTTATGATGCTTTGACATCATGAGGGCCAAGAGGAACCTGCACCTTCCCAGCTAATTCCTAAAGATAGTAAACAACCTGCCCTATGAACACACTTTTCATATGCAAACCAATCACCTCCTTTAAATCACTCTCACATAGCACACCAGTATTTCTCCTGCCCTAATCACCCAGGGCTAGGTACCAGACAACTAGGGACTACCCCTATGGCCTAGAGCTTATGGAAATTGTTCCTTCACCTTTTCCATGGAAAACACAAGGTTTGTATGGGTGTTTTCCTTTTGCCTTCCTCCTGACCAGACCTGGTACTTCCCTGTGTGGCTCTGTGTCACAAGGTGTACCTGCTCTTGGGACTTACAAACAGTAAACTTTTCTTTCAAGGCAGTTGTCTCCTTGTGTGTCATCTTACCATACCTGGTTAAAATAAAATCACAGGTACAAATCAAAGCAGTGTGGCTTGTGGCTACTATATTCGACAACAACTGATCTATAGATAGACCCCTTCTCCCCAAGAAACAGTTCTTTTCATTTCCAGAACTTCATTCAGAGAATCTATATGGGGTGTCTCCACTTTGGTTATGAGAATAAAATGGTGAACATGATAGGTAAGGTCCTTGTCCTTACAGAGCTTCATTCTGGCGACTAAAAGAGTATATCCCCAAAGATTTCAACTATAATCTGTTATCAAGTTGAGTTGGCAATATTTTTTCAAAGGAGTGGCTACCAATTTCTATAACCTACTAATAAAAATTATTTATTATATATCTTCTCTGCTAGGCACTGTTACAGTTTCCATTCGTAGAGTATATAAATACATGTTTCATTTAGAACCCATAACAAACCTTTGGCATGGTGGTGTATCAAAAATAGTTTCATTTTGGAAGACTTCATACTAAGCCAGTTTTTTCTTTTAATACTTGAATAGTAAGAACGATTATCTCTGGGGTAGTTTTACCAAGAGAAGAACAGATAAAATTTTAAATCTGTTGGATTCGATTAAATCAAAACAGGTTAGGATTTATTGTCCTGCCCTAAACCTGCTTATTAAGCTGTAGTTTACCCACATGAATAATGGATAAAATAATGGTACCTACCAAGTATAGCTGTTTAACACAGCTTAACAGAATTAAATAAAGTAATGCAGTTGTACTCTTAGCATAGTGTGTTAACATTCATTAGCATGCCTTGGCACATGATCTTTAGTTCTTCTTTTTTCTTGACTAAGCTATTTCTACATAGTGCTTAGCAAGATAGCAGGTAAGCACTCAGTGAAGATTGTCGAAGGATAACATTTTAAGAACAGAAAGGTTTCTCTTACAGAGGCATGGCACTAGCCAACATTTGATGAACGCATGCTGAAATGTTGAAATCTTGGTTTCCTTATGTGTTTGTCTTCACAGACATAGGGACCATTTTATTTAGTTACTTATATTCCTTAACCCCCTCAAGACAGTACTTTGTACTCCCGAAGGCATTTAATGAACGCTTAGGGAAAAAGATGTATCTAATAATGAGAACATTCAGTGTACGAAAATTTCAATTAGTTCTTTAAAATAGTAGGTTCTAGAAACATTTCTTTTTTTTTTTTTTTTAAGATTTTTATTTATTTGACAGAGATCACAAGTAGGCAGAGAGGCAGGCGGAGAGAGAGGGGAAGAAGCAGGCTCCCCGTGGAGCAGAGAGCCCAATGTGGGGCTTGATCCCAGGACCCTGGGATCCTGACCTGAGCCGAAGGCAGAGACTTTAACCCACTGAGCCACCCAGGTGCCCCTCTAGAAATATTTCTTAAGGAATCACTATGTCTTACAAAAAATGTAAATTAAAGCACTGAAGACATCTTCTTTCTGAAAACAAATTAAACACAAATATACTTTGTGTGAGGATAATGAAATAAGATGTTTGACATAGGATAGGATCTGTTTCTCCAAGTTTTGTGTTTCAAGTCTTAAGTTAGCCCACAGATAAAACGACGTGGTCTCAGGTGTAGGTGGCTTGATTGTGTTTATTTATACATTGTGTTATACATAAGTTAGTTTTGAGATTAACATGAGAAGTAAAGAATAGGTAAAGAGTAAGCTCAAGGACAACACGTGCTGTTTGAGCTCTGTTATGAGAGGGCCGCACGCTTAAATCTGTACGTGTTCAGTTGCAGAATGGCTTCGGTTACTGCCTTTCCTCGGTGTACTTGCACTACTTGGCTACCTTTCAATCCGTCCATTCCTCCCGAAGAAAAAACAACAGAAGGATAGCTTGATTAATATTAAAATACAAAAGGAAAATCCCAAAGTGGTGAATGAAATAAACATTGAAGATCTGTGTCTCACCAAAGCAGCTTACTGTAGGTGTTGGCGTTCTAAGACGGTAAGATGTGCGCTCACACGTACTCTAACACCACACAGTTAAAGTTCTCCTTGTTAAATCATCACTTTTGAGGTTCTGGGAGATGAACGATTTTTCCACAGGGTTCTGAAATTCTATATTCCTAAGTTAAAGTTTGCATTTTATGATGGATACGTACCTATTTTAGAAAAGTTACAGCAGCAAGGAAGGATAGAAATCTGATGCTTCCGAGCTCATGTCGCCACTGATAGTGTGACTCTGGTTGGGCAGGTTACTTAATCCTAAATCTCTGATGTTCAGGGTTGTGTTTTTTTTTTTTTCCAATAATATGTCAACATCATAGATATTTTTTAGGATTTAGTGAGATGCTGTATGTACAGTGCCTTATATATAGATGAGCTAATAAATGGCACCTATAATTATGGATGACTTTTAATGTGGAAATAATAAAGAATATGGAGTGATGAGTATTACAAGTGGCTGGTGATATGTGTTTTCTTCTAGTACTATGATCATAGGTTATTTGAAGTTTTAAGTACGGGAGTGTTCATCACAACATTTTTTTGTGATAGCAAAGTTCTGGAAATAATCTAGATATGTAACTGATAATGGGAATGATTAAAGTATAGCATAATACAAATTGAGGGATATTAGGAAGCTATTACAAATCATGTTTTTAAAGACTATTTTAATGACACGAGAACATGATGTAATTAATAAGAAATGCACAGTACATTCAGTGTGATCCCAATTTTGTTTTTTAAAAAAGGAATACAGTAAATGCAGAGGAAAAATAGATCAAAATCTTGATTATTGTTACTTATGAGTGAATTTTTAAATGTATTTTTTAAGTTTTTTTCAAAAATGTTATATGTGAGTTTTATAGTAAGAAAACATGAAGTAATGTTTTTTGAATTTAAATTGCAATTGACCCTTGAACAGCATGGAGGTTGGGGCAGCCACCCCCTGCACAGTCAAATCTGGGTATAATTTTTGGCTTCCCCAAAACTTAATGGCCTACTGTTGACCAGAAGCCTTACTGATGACATAAACAGACAATTAACACATACCTTGTATGTGAGATGTATTACTTACTTTATTCTTACCATGAAGTAAGCTAGAGAAAAAAAATACGAAATTTTCTCTTCCTATGGTAAAAAAAAAAAAAAGAGAGATTTATTGAAAAAAAAAATCCACAGTTACGTGGACCCACACAGTTCACACCTGTGTTGTTTAAGGGTCAACTGTACATTCTTTTCAAATTTAAATAAACGAAGAGGTAAGCTCTAATTTGGAGTTCCACAGAGAACAAGGGCTTATTTTGGTCCCCCTTTAAACCTGTTTAATTGACTCTTGAAATAATTCAAAGCTTTTTATTGAAAATCTGTATCAAATAATACATTATTTTAAATTGTTAGATTTGCTTTGATATTGGAATGAGTTAAGTTAGATATAGAATACACATTACTCAGGAAAGCTATCTGATGATTTTTTTCAAAGTTATGTAATTTCTTTATAAGAACATTTCATGAATATTCCTACTTATTAAATCATTTTTAAAATAACACTTGTAATACATTATATGTTAATAAAAATTAAAAATTATAATAAAGAAACAAAAAAATAAATAAAATAACACTTGTAATTCTTTTTCCTTTCTAGTTTCCTGCCTGTGATGGTTCACATAATAAACATAATGAATTGACAGGAGATAACGTGGGTCCACTAATACTGAAGAAGAAAGAAGTGTAATAGTAATGAATTAGGATTGAATTCAGTTGTGTGCTGTAAAATCTTATAACAATATTTTTTCATTCTTTGTATAGAGGGTCTTTAAAATGGTGGTCTTAATGATTGCTACTGGTTGAGTAATTATTTCTGCCAATTTATTTTCTTGCTACACTACTGTTCATATTTGATATTTTGTATATTCAGTCGTTTATATAGAGGTTAAATTGTACAACCCTTTCATTCTTAATGTATCTTCCTGAATAAAACCAACAGTCTTGGTTTTAACTAACTGAGAAAAATGTGTTTTTAAAGCTATTCCTCTGAATTTCAATATTTTCTACAGAATCTACAAGTTAAGTTTTTCTCCCTACGTACACTGTTAAATATATTATTTTTCGTCCCCTTCTGTTTTGATCATTTGAAGTGACTTTTCCTCTTGGCCTTCCATTCTCCGTTCTTTTCAGATCAATAAGAAAATTACTTCTTTCAAGAATTACTTGAGTTTTTAAAGAGATAAATGCTTTGCTTTATAAAGACTGTGTCTAATAAGTGTGAATATCCCAATTTCCGAAAAGACATGAACTGGATATAGAAAGTTCCAAAAAGGAACTGTTATATGCATTATAAAAAATTTGTTTAATTTATAAAAGGCTTGTTTGTGTTTGTTTAGGTGTGTGTTTTGTAAAAGTATCTTGAACTGACTCAGTGACAGGGTGGGATGGGGTGGCAAGAATACTTAAACTCCCAAGCTGCTGCAATTTGAAGGTTAATTAGAAATAAACATAAAAAACATCTGAATTCATATTAAAATGATAAATCAGTGTTCAAAATCCTTTACATTTTTCTCTTTATAACAGTGTAAGCCAATAAAACATAAAATACAAAAAGGTTGCAAAATAAAGTTATTGGAGAATCTTAAAACTTTTGTAATTTTTTAGCCTTAGTCTATTTGGTTTTATTGTATATTATAGTTCTTACATTAATAGCTATCCTTAAGTCTGTCTATTAAAGGTACAATCCTGTCAGTTTACTGTGTCTTTTTTACATACAAAGAAGGTACAGGAGGCTGACATATTTAATTCTCCCAATAATAATCAAAGTTAATAGCATGTATATATATGAGACGCTGCACTAAGTCTGGTATGTAGATTTGTAATTTATTACATGTAATGTCAGTAGGTTCTATTGTGTGATCTTTGATCTTGACTCTTGTGACCAACAGCGGGAATTTTACTTTTATTTATTTGTTTATTTATTTATTTATTTTTAAGATTTTATCTATTTGACAGAGAGATCACAAGCAGGCAGAGAAGCGGTGGGGCGGGGCGACGGAGGCAGACTCCCTGCTGAGCAGAGAGCCAGTGCGGGGCTCAATCCTAGGATCCTGAGTTCTGACCCGAGCCCAAGGCAGAGGCTCTAACCCACTGAGCCACCCAGGTGCCCCAACAGCGGGAATTTTAAAGTTAGAGTTAGAAAGGCAGTTGCGATTTTGAGAAGTTTTACAAGGCATATGTACAAAATAGTTACTCTTTCCTCATGTATGAAGAGGGAGCAATCTACCCCTGTTGTCACTGGCTCTGGGTATTCTGTCCTACAGCCTTCTCTTCGACACTCTTTTTTTTTTTTAATTTTATTTTTTATAAACATATAATATATTTTTATCCCCAGGGGTACAGGTCTGTGAATCACCAGGTTTACACACTTCACAGCACTCACCATAGCACATACCCTCCCCAATGTCCATAACCCCACCCGCCTCTCCCAACCCCCCTCCCCCCAGCAACCCTCAGTTTGTTTTGTGAGATTAAGAGTCACTTATGGTTTGTCTCCCTCCCAATCCCATCTTGCTTCATTTACTCTTAAGGAGCTTTCACTGTCAGATGACGCAAATATTTTTCCATAGCTGATCATAAGACTTTGGGAAAAATCTTCTGTACCAAAAGTTTGAATATCCCTGGTCTGTGGTCATAAAATGCTTTTCTTTAAAATTATTTACTGCAGCACAACGTGTATATTCTAATGGTTCCCATACTTAGATTTCACAGGAGAAGGTAAAATTTCCTAAAAATGTGGAGACTAAAATGAAATTATCAACTTTAAATTTTGTCAACTAAACATATATAATGAATTGGAAAACTAATTATCTCATAAAAGGTAACTTTAACACCCCAGAAGTATCAGGGCTATATGCTCAGGATAGTTTTGCTCCCACATTTTCAACTTTTAAAATATGTTAAAGAGCTGTGTCCAAATATCTTCCTACCTGTGCAAATTTTTCAGAAGCCTGGGGCTGGTAGCAAGCTGTTATTTTAATGACTCCCTTTACATAAGCATTATTATCAGTTGCTGTCACTTCCTCTTGTAAATTCACAGAATTCTTTCTGCTTTAAAAAAAATGGATATCTAGTAACTGCTTCTGCATTGTTATAACAGACAATAACAGCTCTTGAAATACCTATCTTGGGTTTCTAGAACCTTTAAGAAACAACGCTGTCACTGTCACGTGATTGTTTTGAGGCCTGTTTCTCCTTACCCAGGGAATTGCTCATTGCCTTACTCAGCAGATGAGCACCACCATTACATAAATATCAGGTATCCAAAACTGTTGAGCAGGCTTGAGGTATTAATGACTCATTCATATGGGTAATTAAGGAAGTTGTATTGTGAAAGCACCTTACAATTCAGCTTTGAGTTCAATGCCTCATGTGATGATTCATTGAACTGCTTTTGTATTTTGTAACCTAATTTGTTAATAAGTTTATGGGAAGCTACTTAAGCCAGTTGCTGATCCATAGAGTTCTACCTTCCTTATTGCGATTCCTATAGTTTCCCAGGAGAAGCATGCTGTCAGACTCTCCCTCTGCAAAGAGATTTTTAAAACTCTACTGTTCATGAGGGTTCTTAAATTATGGTGGATATCTTATTAACTAACTACCAGAAACATCTAAAAATTGAGTGCCTCGGGTCCCCATCTTCAGAGTCTGCTTATTCTTACTTCACGACTAATTCTGATAAATTTGGTTATCTGATTTCTGCTCCTTAAAAAAACAAGAACAAAAAACAAAGAATAGACAGGGTCTTGCTAGTGGCAGGTAAACAATAAAATGTAACAGCTGATAGCAGGGGAGGGATCCAAACAATAAATTTAATGTGGGGCACCTGGGTGGCTCAGTGGGTTAAAGCCTCTGCCTTCGGCTCAGGTCATGATCTCAGGATCCTGGGATCGAGCCCCGAATAGGGCTCTCTGCTCGGCGGGGAGCCTGCTTCCCTTCCTCTCTCTCTGCCTGCCTCTCTGCCTACTTGTGATCTCTGTCTGTCAAATAAATAAATAAAATCTTAAAAAAAAAATTTAATGTGGACATTAAAAACATGGCAGCTTGAGAATTCAACATAGGACCCTGCACACCACAGTACCTGAGAGCATCTGTGTGATCAAATTATACAAATGATGTTTCATGACGAATTTGAATCAAGATAGGGTAGCATATGGTATTTAAGAAGGCAGGATATGTGTTGCATTTGGTAATACCAGTTTCCACTTCAAATAGTGAAAAGTTTAGTTCTTAAGTGATATATATCCAGGAGGAAAATTTATGCAGGAAATACCTTGACTCATTCTTGGATATGTGGAGGATTATCATAGGAAATTCTTCCATTCAATTAGAAACATTTTTCAAGTTTGAGGGTGGTAATTCACTACACAATTTAATTTGTTAAAGTATGAGGAAAACTAGAGGAACAGTGATTTAAACCACACAATCACGTTAGAGGACTTCTACCTTTGGGATGATAAAATATGCTTGTTTGGAAACCGCACAGCAGCAGTTCTGTGACTGACTGTCTTGCTGGCCAAGGGGTCCCTTTGGACTGAGAGGACTCCATAGCTGTTTTGTTTCGTTTTTGCTATGCCACATTATCTGAAGCTGTGTTGTAGTTTATCACGATAGTCCTTTCCTGGAAGCTCACTTTAACATGTTCAGATAGTGAATACTTTTATCTTTTGCAGAGATCCAGTTCAGTGGAGTCATGTCATAGCAAGCATTATTTTATTTTATTTTATTTTATTAAGATTTTATTTATCTATTTGACAGAGATCACAAGTAGGCAGAGAGGCAGGCAGAGAGAGAGAGGAGGAAGCAGGCTCCCTGCTGAGCAGAGAGCCCGATGTGGGGCTCCATCCCAGGACCTTGGGATCATGACCTGAGCCGAAGGCAGAGGCTTAACCCACTGAGCCACCCAGGTGCCCCACAAGCATTATTTTAATATAAGAAGGAGACAGTCTATATTATTAGCAATTGTATTATGCCATTTTATATTCGTTATGGTCTTGAAGGATACTGAAAATCTGTTCAGAGAGGCATACTTAAGTTGTTACTCAGAGATGACATCACCCTCTAATTGTCCTTTGGTTTAAGTATTTGATTCTTTGCTTATAGAAAGAGTATATCTGTGACTCTATTCTCTGTTGTCAAGTTCAATATTTACGGTTATCAAAGAGATTAGCCAGTGTTAACAAATTCCTGATCTCTCCTATAAGACTGGAATTTTCCATTATGTAGAAAAGGGGAAAAGGGTAGTAAATTGCATAATTACAGAGGTGAACCCTGTACTCATGGGAAAATAAAAAATGTCAAGAAATAATTCACTAAATTTTTCAAATTTTCTGTAATTTTCCATTAGTATTCATCATACATTCCTCTGCCTTATCACACTGAAGATAGGAATCCATAACACCCATTCAACAAATTTAAGACACGCAAAACTTAGTACAGTCTTCAAGTATGTTGAATGCTGCCGAGAAGTGAAATACGATGAAGATAGAATGATGTTCATTTTAAAATGCTGCATACGACTGTATAAGTAACACGTTGAAAAACTTAGAGGAAATGGATAATTTCCTAGAAAAACATAGTAACCAAAAGTAACCCAACATGGAATTTAAAATGTAAGTAGATTATCAAATAAGAACATAAAAGTGAGGTTTTTAAAGTGATTTTTTAAATCCATAATTTAAAAAGTACTTGGGGCACCTGAATGGCAGTCTATTAAGTGTCCTACTTTTGGTTTCAGCTCAGGTCCTGATCTCAGGTTCATCAGATTGAGCCCCAGTTGTGTTTCTATGCTCAGTGCAAAATCTGCTTGTGATTCTCTCTCCCTCACCCTCTGCCCCACTTCCCCAAGCATCCCTTCTCTCTCTCTCTAAAATAAATCCTAAAATAAAAAAATAAAGTAAAAAGTACTAAGATTGCAAGAAAAATAAGTTACTGATTTTTTAAATAGGAAAAAATTACCAACTCATT